CAAATTCTCTGCTCAGCTGTCACTACTGGTGTTTTGGAATAGAGACCTGGACAGTTTCAAAAGCATACCCCTATGAAGATCCCACCATTAAGTGGTGCCCTACTTAAATGGGGAAAAAATAACCTGCACAGATTCAGGCTCCAGTGCCTGAAGAGCAGAGCCAAAATACTTTGATGTCACGCAGTTTCTCAAGGGCTATCAGCTGGCACCTTGTGTCAACTGAAAAAAGGCAGAATTTGTGTTCTAAGGCCAGTATGCGTCATGAGAAACAAAATACTCATGAATGTCATAAATCTGACAGGGTTCAATAGTTTGTTGTACTAAAGGTTGAAAGAATACGACAGACTCTTTGGTGTAAATGTCAGCACACAATGTGCAGGTGAATTTTTCCATGACATTTGCAAACTAATTGTAAGAGTCATGGCAATTAAAAAGTATCAGTCTACTATGAATAAAAAACCAAAAGATTCCCCCTAAGAGTAGTATAAGCCATGATATAGAGCGGAAAATACCAATAGAGGAAGCAGGAGCTCTTTGCTAATGGTACAAGGAGAAGCGTCCTTATTTCTGCTCTAATAAAAATGTGTAGGAAGCCTAAAAAGATGATATATTTTTTTCCACAGAAAATACACTTCCATGGTTTAGGGAGCTCGGTTTACATAACTGGTGTTTAGGTAACTCATAAAACTACGTGCTGCTATCACACTGTGAAAACATCTGGTTTTAGAAATATCACTAACTTTACTCCTTTGGGCTTTAATGATTTGCAGTCTTTTGTGTCACTTTGATCACCGTAGGGATTCCCAGAAAATTCCTGAGCTCAAAGGACATTTGAAAGTCCTGGGCACAGGACTTTCCATCCAGGATTGCAATATTCTAATAATTGTTAAATACTGAACCCTCAGATGAAAGACCATATGTATGTGCAAATTACTGTTACAAATAAAAATATATCTTTTTTCCTCCCCGCTTTCCCCCCTACTTTTCCCAAACTTCTGCTCTGCTGCCAAGGTAGCAAAAGATTAAATTGAAAAGGACCGATCCATGAATGACATGCACTCTGGACAAGATGAAATATAAGAAAAAACAGGCACCCTTCATACCGGAAAGTTCCAGTTCTCGGAGGCAAAGATGGGCTGGGTGGAAGGCGGCTGCCAGGTAGACTTCTACACTGGAGTTAGTTACACTGTACTCTCGTTGTAGTCAACAGAGACAACCTGGCACCGCAAGAACACCCCTCATCTCATCCCAAAGTAGAACAACCCTGGTCAGGTTCATCTAACTTATTTTAGATCTTGATGATGAAATGAATAGTGTCCCAGAAGCACCTATTGCTCTCCATTGATTATAGAGTGAGACTAGGCAACAAACTCAAAGGCAGACCTCCACAGTGAAGAAGTCTACACTGAACAGTGAATCCCATTCTCTTGTAACAGTTGTCATGATAGTGCTCCGTGCCTAGTTCTGCTATTCTGCTACCCAAAAGTCGGCCTGAGAAATGGGAACCTATGCTACCTCCTCCTGAACAGCCTCATGACTGTTCTTTGTCATTTTATGAAGAAAAGTCTTGTCTGCTATTTAAAGACACAAGAACTACTGACCAAGGAGGAGTTTGTTTCTCATACAAGCTCATTGTACGCCTATATGCGTATAGCAGGAACTATGAATCAACCTTTCATTGTCAAATTAAAAAGGACAGTAATTATTATATTGTTTCTGTGTTCATCTTAAAATATGGTGGGCATGTGTGTCTTTTTGTGCCTGTTTGGCCCATGGGTTGCACAGGAGAACAGGTTATACTACTTCTACTTACAGGATTAATAAACTCCCTGTACAGGTGTGGTGGGTTTTTTTTTTTTGATATTTTGTCATTTTTATTTCAAATACTGCCTAGTGACAGTTGCTTTAAAAGAAAGGCTATTGCATGTGAACACGAAATTTTAAACAACCTAGGTTTCCAGAGCAAAACCTGTCTAGGCATGGTAACATCATCACACTTCAAAGAATATCCTTACCCCTCAAAGAAGAGACAGGATAAATTCGATAAATGAGAAGTTTTTCAAAAAAAAAATTGTACCCTACAAAAGCAAAGAATTATTTATATGGGGGAAAAAAATCTCACTTTTTCAGTCAAAAAAGTTTTTTGAAATTGCAGCATTATTCTCTTATCCTGGTGACCCCTAAGCCATGGATGTATGTCCCTCCATAAAGCCAGAACACAATGCAGATGGTGCTGTAGGTGAGTTCACCAATATAGTTACCTTAGGTTAGCCTAGGATAAAATAAAACAATCACTTGACCAGATCAATAAACACGTGGCTGTGCAAATGGAACGATTCGAACGTATCAACTCCTTTAAAGACAGGGACAGGGAGATGTAGCAGGAGCTTTTGAACCAGTGACATGCTGTGGAAACAGCTCAGCCCTGGGTTTCCGAGAAGCAGAGTCTCATGCATGTACAATAGCTAAATTAATTATTTATTTAAATGACAGTACGACAAAGTAACAGCTCGAGTTGGGTGCCTCCAGGGAGGGACCCAGAACAAAAGACTTCTTAACTAATTGCACAGGTTCATGTCTACATCCCAGGACAGTTGCTAGATGGTTGCTATGTTCCTGCTCCACAGTACCTTATCTTATCTGAAGGTCAGCCGTTACCTCTGTTCATTCTGGTCACTCTGTTCTGTATCCTTGAGGGCTGCTTCTAGCTGATATTGCAGTCGCACCGTCAGCCATGTTCGCTGGGTTACAGTGCAGTCTTGCAGCCTGCAGGCTTCACCGACTTTAGGCACTTACGCTAAGCAAGAGTCAGACTTATGCTAAGCTGAAGCTAAGTCGGCTACAATTCCCTTCTGTAACAGATAGTTCCCATAAATCAGGGTCTTGCTGTAGCTGATGTTTCCTCCAGGTAGGGAAAAAAACCAGAAATCAAATTCAGCTACCTGCTATCAGAAATGTCTGAATCCCTGAACAGAGTTTTTCCTAACACATGAAATTAGAGTATTCGGGCTTATCTCCTGTGACCTAACAGAGGAAGAATATAGAATATGTTTAACCCTGGCTGAAAACTCATTGTTTTTACTCTATAGATTGGCTGATATCTTCTAAAGAGAAATATGAAGAAATACAATCTCCAAACTTACCTACTTCTAAGAACCTATGGACCTGCTGCTACATTAGAATTCTAATTATTATTTTACTATTACTCCATTTGCTTAAAATAATTTTCCAGTTCTAATAACAAATTCCTTCTAAACAGAAATTTCTATGACAACTTTCAAGCAGGGAGCCCCATATAATGTTTATTGGTTACTGTTGTCTGATGTTGGCTCTTGAAAAGTTGATTGTGGATCAACTGTTTGTTGGAATCAGCATGCACGGCTTCAGTGGGGAAAGCGGGGTCACTTTCATTTACTTTTATCTACAGAGAAGAGAAAGACAATATGATATAATCTTTCAAAAGAAAATCTTTGCTTTCCAATTTGTCACCCAGAGAGGTAATAATGGAGAAAGAGTGCTAAGAGCTAGAAGGAACGATTATTGCTCCCTCGCTCTATTGCAGCTTTAGTCTTTAGTCCTCTCTATTACAATAGCTTTCTCCGTTATGACAGAGGAAAACAAATAGCATGCTGCACTCTGTTGCTGCTACTGATGTTCCGGATGAGGTTCACTATGAGAGAGCTTTGAAAGAACAATACAAGGAAATGTAAAAGAGCTCACTTTGCTCTCCCACCTTTGCAGTTTTGATCCAGTCCTTGTATTAGTTAGTACTAGTAGCCCTGTTTTGTGTGAGGTGAAAACTGGAGCTTCACTTCTGTTTACCAGGAAATCATTTCTATATGTGCACCCTGAAAGTTAGTCTGGATTTTGTCATGCTTACTGCTGCCTACTGACCTGTCTGGCCTGTATTAATCAATCCCCCTGATGTGGTAGACAAACACGTCAGTTGCAGTTAGCATACAGCAGCAGCAGGTCTCAGTTACGCTTGCCTGTATCTTACCTACTTCTTCTATTTTTTCCTGAAGCAATTTCTCTCTTTTGCTTGTTAAAAAGTTAAAGGGTGAAGTGCTGTTCCCTAGCCTTTCTCTTTAATCCGCTCTCATGTTGCAGTGCACTGATGCCTGCTGAGTTCTTCTGAGAGACAGTCCAACTCATTAAGTCAACAGAAAACTAACCCAGAAAAAGGGAAGCCAATTACTTTCTGCTGAGTTAGCAAAAAAATCAGCTCATGGCAGGATCTACTGAGCACCAGAACTGCGCAGCTGAAGGAATGTCTATAACCAGGTTATGCACTGGAAACACTGGAAAAGAGGGACGGGGAGATGTCAGGGCATCATTTCCCTGTTAACAGCACTGAGCCTTACAGAAGCTCAGCCATCCATCAGACCACAACTGGAATCAACTACAGTTGATTGCAGCCTCTACTGCATGAAGACAACTGTCTTCCTTCCAATATAGATCAATGTGCTTAACTCAAAAAGCACAATTGGTTGAAACTTATTGTCGATAAAACAGGGGCATTAGAGAATTTAATTATTTTTATATCAAGTTGCTCAGCATGTAATTTTACAGGAAAATCGAAACCACCTACATTTTGTTTGTACTCTTGATATTGGAAAAGGGGAGTTCAGCTTTCCCATGGGTTTTCATATCCATTCCTTACTCTACCATTTAAATTCCATTTGCTTCTCTCGGTAGAACTTTTTTAATGGGGCTTCAATCAGAAACAGGCCCTCCACACCTGGGCTGCTGCACATTTTCATCAAATTTAAAGATACCGAGACAACTCACCATCTGAGAGGGCTCATTTTAGACAAGCCTGTCACACACTCTAAGGCCTACTGCACTTTTGTTTTCTTGCAGTTTCAGAGAAGCATTAAGTGAAGTAGTTTCCACTAATCAAGAGAGACAGTTACCTGCAAGAGCCAAACCTTGGGAATGAGCTTATTATTGCGGTGTGTTGGGTGTTGCTGAGACCACGTCTGTATATGGTGCTCTCTTAACAGGAACAGGCTGGCAGACCTGCAACAGAGCATTTCAAGTCTTTCACTGTTACTTGTCTTCCATTTTCAGTTACTGATTGTACATAATGAGAATAGCAGCTCTTATACATCCCAGCTCTGTAATTTATGCTTCATAACGTTTTCATCAGCTCTCTCTCTTGAAAATATCCCTTATACTGGGATTAAACTATTTAGTTCTCAGCTTTCACAAGGAGTTGGGTGGCTTACTCTGTCATCACTGTAGCAAAACAGTTCTAAAATCAAGCAACAGACCGTGCTCCACCTCATGTTATTGCTGCTTGTCACTTCCTTAGCCTAAACAGAGCGTGGAGTGTTGAGAAAATGCTAGAGATTATGGCACAAACAATGGCACACTAAAACATGATCCTAGATCAGCTAATCTGCAGTATTTGATTGCTGCTTTATATGTTTTTAATCCTGGCTATCCCAGGATATCTGGGGAGAGCAGGTATGGAGAATATGAACCTGAGCAGCTCCTCTGAATAGCTGACTCACTATGCATCCGTGCTGTAAGCCTGCCCTTCGTTAAGGTGCTCACATTTTCCAGTGATGCTCTTAACACAGGCAAGAGAAGTGAATGAACAGCAGTGAAACAAAATGAATCCTGCCTTTTGTCCACCATCCGAGCTGCTGGCTGCAGGAGGTGGAGCTGGTTGAAAAATCACTTCTGAAGACAATATATACTTGATGATTCGGTTCAGGGAGAATTCTCCCTAGCTCCGATAGGAATTGCAAACAGCCACAGTCACTGAAGTTATTTAGAATTCTGTGATTGCCAAGTTTCTCTTACATTTTTCTTTAGTTTTAGTACCCATCTTTCTCCCACATGGGATGTAATGCTTTAGCAGAGATATCAGGATCTGGCTGCACTAAAACTCGGCTATGCTGGAGGAAGCACCTAGTCATCATTTAATAAACACAGCATTTTCCCCTGTATATAAAGGAATGACCCAAGTTTTTCCTGGTGTAACCTCACTGTAAATCTGTTTTCAATAGCTTGTTTCTATTACCATTACATGGCATTTATTTTGCATTAAAAGCCAAAGGGACCAACATTGCACAACAAATAAGGGGCCATAATAATAAGCAGCCCTCATTTACAAAGTACCGTATGCCTTCAATGTCCAGTGGATTAAATAAACTCACAGGCTTGTAGCACATTGTGCATGATACACATCACACTGAAGATAGGTCCAGAGGACTGATTTCTAAGAGGTACTCTGCAAAGAGAATCTATCTAAATTAGAAAGACAGAATGAGGCCGGTGCAGATGAGCAGTTCTTACTTTTTGGCCTGTGAAACAATATCTGCAGCTGGCCATGGAATTGCATGGCCTTTGGGGCAATTGTTTCAATTTAATGAATTGCTCAGGATAAGGGACATGCCTTTCTCCTGCCAAATTCACAGGCTGGGCCACTGGTCTGCTTATTCAATAGCTCTGGGAATTTCTGGCACAGTAAAGATTATTGTCCCTTCCCCAACAAGTGTTAATTTTCACTCATGTTGAGAAGGTAGATAGAACATATAAGAAGCGCGTAGAGGTTTAAATGAAGGATCTATTTTCAAAATAAGAGTCAAAGTTTAATCAGCATAGTCAGATACCCACATAATGCAAATGAAAATAGCTCCAGTTTACCTAATTTACACTGCCTTGTACTGGTGCACAAAGTGTGTTCCCTTTTGTTTGGAAAATCAGATTAAAAAAAGGCAATTCTCACACGGATGCTGCTCCGATTTAACTTCTAGGTCTAGCAATGAATCCTACTGATTCAGGTTCCAATTTTAAAAAATACTTAAATACGCTGGGCGCTTTTGAAAAATCCCATGCACAATAAGCGAGGCTAAGGCATCAAAAGTGTTTTTCATGAGCACTGCAGGATGGATAAATAAGTGTTGAAAATTCAGTCTGCACGAGTTTTGTAAAGTCCCTCTTTAATAAAACACAGAACAAGAACTCAAATAGAGCTATCTCCCTTGGTCCAGCAATGCACTATGCGCATGTTCAGCTTTTAACACTTTTTTGCTGGTGTTCAACATTCTGCAGGGCTTAGCCCCAAATAGCTAATCCATGAAAGCGTCAGAAAATTGTTGATATCTTCCGCCAAGATTTCTTCCACAGTATGATGGGATTGCCTCTGTGATTTCTCAGTAAAATCAGTGGTGAAATGTAGCAGATATTCAGATCACCCGTGATCAAGAAAGTTTGCCCACTTTTATTGGAAGTGCATTAGTTTATTTTTAAAAGCACCCAGAGCACTACAAGTTGCACAGATTTCCCTGAGAGCAGGAACTACGGTATTTTTCTGTAAGATGAAGAATAATAAAAATTCAGCCCTTTTAGTTTCTTTTCTTCCCACCTTGGCACATTTTGATTAGTAAGGGAAATTACCACTGAATCCCCAAAGCTCTCTTCCCAAGAGCTAGCTATCCTCATGTTCTACAAAGCATTACAGAGATTTATTAGTTTAATTAACCTGATCCCGCTGCCTGACTCGTTTGTAGACATATGGAGGGAATGGTGGACGGGAGACATATTTGCCTTCTCCTGCTGTGACATTGAAAGTCCCATCTTCATAAACCACTTTGCCTCTTGAAATTGTTGCAACTGGGACTCCGTGGCAGACCATTCCTTCAAATATATTGAAGTTGTTGGCCTGGTGATGTGTCTTTGCAGATATTGTCCTGTGTTTACAAAACAAAACAAATTGCAAAATTGCTATGATCCCTGAATTTACTTCATTGTAAAAATTTGAGGAATGGATAGTGGAAGAAAATTTAATGGCATTATTAAACTATGACATTGTACAGTATATCATGGAACAGCTGTAAAAATAGAATAGAGCATTAACATTTCATTGAACAGTAATTGCATTTGAGAAGAATGATGAGGGAGTCAAAAGGACAGAACTTTGCAGCCTTGAAATGCAAAATTTTCCACTAGAAAGAGACAAGTGGAAAAAAAAAGAGATTGTAATATTTTATTTGGATTACACGATTGCATTTTGCCTTGTCAAGCAAATATCTATGCACAATAAGGTCAGAAAAAACCTCTGACCTTTCAGACAGAATGATTTGCAATTTCAAGTTTTAAAAGTATGGCTGGAATATTTCAAGAATTGAAAAACAAATAATGCAAAGACTATTCCACTGGGGATGGTAACGAATTTTGGTAATTTATGATGTGAGCTGGATTGAAACAGTGACAGCCCAAATATCTCCATGCTGTTGAACAGTAGTGACAACAGCATACTTATACATCTTTCTTCCAAGGTTATTAGGCAAATTATAATATTAGATCTCAACAGCAGTAATCTGAGCTATAGGATTATTGTGTCCAGTTTATAGACAGACCTCATTCTTTATGCTCACTGTTTTTTGCAAATGAGTCTTACAGTCAATTTCTCCAGATTATTAAAAACTGTAATTGACATCCTTTTTAAAATGAGACAATCACACACACACACACACACACACACACACAAATCCATATCCTTCTTGGAGAATAACCATTTTCACAAGTAATCACATATCAAGTGGTTCAAATGATTAATTACATACACAGAGGAAAAAGCTAAAATTCTTGGAAGGATACACTGTTTTCTTTTAATATTGTTCTGTTGAACAAAGAGTAACTGTTTCTACTAAATGCTATATTTAAATCTCAGTGGCAACTGACTTTTCAAATGCTGTATATAGAAAAATACTCTCAATGGCCATTCCGTCCGCAGGAAAAAAAATCTTTATTATTTAGCAGACCTTGGACAGAAAACTTAGTGGGCATGTTCACCAATGTCAGTATTGTCTTGTAGAGTCACAGGGGAAAGAACAAGCCATAGAAGCTGGACCCTCTTATATTCATCAGTCTTACCAATACCAGGCAACAAATTTATCCATGGGTGTTATAACCCTACAAAGAGTTTGTGAATATATTCTCCTAGTTTATTGCATTATCCTTATGGGTCCAATTGGTACAACAGTAAGTAAAAACTACCATAACACTATTATCTTTAGCATTCTCTGAGTAGATATCATATCCATTTGTCCACTAGCACTGAGACAAAAAGAGAAAAATGAAGAAAGTACTTCCAGTAAACGAACAGAAAAATAAGCAGGATCCTTCAGCTCAACATGAGAGCTTCTTAAGTGTGCTGAAGCAGGAGCACTGGGGGTAAACACGCCTCACATGTAAGTATGTCTTTCAAAAAAAAGACATAAAATTAATGAAAGTTAATACATTTAAAAGAAAATCCACTTGTGCAGGCAAACCTTACAATATAGCAAAACAAATTTCCTAGAGCTTGTCTAAACAACAATCCTGTACAGAACTCATCATAACTCTTCTGTTGAAATAAGCCTTAAGATTGTGCTGCCCTTGATGAAGGTGAAGTGCATTCTCCTTGATGGCTCTTGCTAAAATACTTCTGTGATTAGGTTTAACCCTTATTATCAATGTCAGCTAAAGTTTCAGGTAATAAGTGAACAACCAATTAAAACAAAATCAGACAGTCTATTTGGGTCTGGTGCTCACAGCTCAGCAACCTTACACATTGGACTGTTTACTGCTGTCAATGGCGCCTCCATCAGCCGTTTCAGCAATGGGCACCACTGCTGGGAAGCCTAGGGAAATTCCAGTGTTAATGCTTTGCGTATCTGAATACTACTGATCACGCAGCTCATGGCAAGAACACCTACAGCTAATTTACAATCTAGGAAACCAAGACTGCCGCCCTTACTGAAACAGAATATAACAGTTGTCTTCAACATCCTAAGTGATACCTGGCATAAGGGATTACTCAACATAAGAAAGCAGATTCTGACTCCAAGCTTCAAAAACCTGCATGGGAATTTGTTGATAAAACTGGTAAAATTCTCTAAATCTGGTAATAAATGACAGAGGCTCCTGTTCCAAACAACCCTTCTTCAAGTGGAGACTGAGGTCAGAATGATTACTTTAAGATTTCAAAGAACATTTTCCTCCACAAAGAAGATATTGTAAAGACATCAGGCCCTGCTTTGCTGCTACTTAAATCAGTGTTTTCATATACTTCAGTTTAGCTGCTTTTGATACACCTGTCTTGCAAAGAGATTTTAGACTATCAATATAAAAAATATTGATATTTCTCTAGTACTGAAAAGGAAGATATGCTTCTGAAGTTGTCTTTTTTTTTCAGTCCAGTGCTTCTATCCAACTAACTTATAGTCTTTTAGCAATTATTTTAAAGTCTAAGTGAAATTCTCAGATTTTCTCTAAGTGTGTGAAGATTCAGTGACAAGTAATTCCACATTTGTTTACGCTCTATATAAAGCCTTATAGCCACTCCTAGAATACTATACCTAATTAAACTACAAATTGAAATGTGAGACTGTACAGGTGGGCGATACAGGTGGACTATTATTCTGGCCCCAGTCAGAGCCTGAAATACGAAAGAGCAAGTTACAGATATGCAGGAGGGGAAGCTGGATAAAGGGAAACTAGCTTTACATATTATGAATTTTCTTCTACTCTCCATAATACACAAGAAACAAAGTTGCATTAGCCTGGTGAAGGTGGATCTGTCAAGCTAGAGCGAGCTGTAGGACCTCAACTTCCACTGCTGTGAGGATTAACACTGTAATTTTCAGGGATCAGGACATATAAGAAGGACATAAGAAAATAAAGAACTTAACTACTTTCAATGGAAATTGGATGTATAACTCCCACAGTTTTCTTTAAAAATTCCAGACTCAGAAATATGAAGGAATTCTGCAGTCAACAGCCCTAAGGCAAGGGTAGTGGTCTAACATCTCAGGAGAGGGAAGATAGAGATTCTAGAATTACTTAATCAAGTGAAAATATAGCAACAAGAATAGCTAAAATGACCTGAGCCCACAGCTCAAGAGAAAACAACTGCTTTGTCGACAGCTACTATAGAAAACCAACTTGTATAAGGATGAGAATTTGAGTTGTAAGCAATTTCTCTCAATGCTTATAGTGCAGTATCTTTAAACTGGGGGTAGGCGTTCAGTTTACTGAAGTTCAGATCAGCCTTTGTGAGTAGCCCCTTCACATTACTATCTGCTGCCTTTGCACTACCCATGTTTTTAACCTGCTTTTCTAAAATCTAGAGGAAAAGTAAATTTCTGGTTTACCTTTCTGTGCTGTCCTGAGCCACCACTCATTTATACAGATAATTAAGTTAGGCTTTGTTAACGTTAAAGAGACAGTTTTATTAAAAAGAAAAGCAATAGAAGGGAAAAAAGAGGGGAAAAAAAGAAAAAAAACAAAGTCCATGTGCAAAAATTTTAGCTATAAGACTATAAAGTGGATTATAAAGCCCCTTGTCTATTCTAAATTAAGGAATTGCTATAACTGCACTTAAAAATGTAGGCAGTCACATATTAGTAAAGTTTTATTCCTACCCTCTTAAAGAAATATCCCTAAATAAGCATTGTCCTCAAGTAGCCATATGAAGTGAGGGGATTTGTGGATAAAATAACAGAGAAAGAAGAGCCAAGAAGTCAAGGTTTGGGAGCCCTATGTCAGAGAGAATTATCTGGGATGTGATCTTTATTTTATGCAATCATATCTCCTTAGATTCATCATTTTAAGATGGATGGAGGAGAATGATGACAAAGTTATTCCCTGATTATTGAAAGTAACCCATTTGTTAACAATACCATCAGTTTCGTCCCAACAATCACTCCAAATTGATAAGGGCTGGAAGGGGAAATTGTCAGACTGTACAATGGACAGTGGGGGAACAGTGATCAGAAATTAAGCTCGTGGAAATGATAGAGATGAAAATGCAAATGAGTTCCTTCAACGACTAAAGAAGATCCAGAAGCGATAGCTGGGCAGAAAAATATAAGGTTATATAAGGAGAAGATAAGAAAAGGTTATATTTCTAAGATTCAGCTCTCTGAGCAGCTCACATTTTGTGAGCAAGTTACTAGGGAAACATACATCATACTCTTTCATAGAGGCTTATTTTGTTGCAAGCCACAGAACCACAGAGTCATCAGGGTCGGAAGAGTCCTCTAGAGATCATCTAGCTCAACCTCTCACTCAAAGCAGGGTCACCTAGAGCGGGTTGCCCAAGAACCAAGTCCAGTCGGGCTTTGAATATCTCCAAGGACAGAGACTCCACAACCTCTTTGGGCAACCTGTTCCTGTGCTTTACCACCTTCACAGTAAAAAAAGTTCTTTCTTATGTTTAAAAGACATTTTTTGTATTTTAATTTTTGCCCATTGTTCTGTCTTTATAAGTGTTCCCTCTACTTGAAAATAACAGGCATTTGGAAGGAAGTCTATGATGCCTGTGAGTGAGTGTGCATGCATGCAAAGGCTTGTACTTGTGTAAAAAAAATATGGAGCAATTGAGAATACCAGAACATTCTTGTCCTGTGCATATATATCTGTACGCCATGCTTTTTAATTTCATTTTGCCTCATGATGTCCGAAAGGAGTTATCCATATACTAAGTATTCAAAATTATGCTCATTCATCAAAAGAGTAAGACAATCGCAGCATTATGTTTTCTAATCCGCTGCTAATTTCTTGTTTTTTTCCCTCTTTCATGTTATGAAAAATTACAAATAGTTGCTTGGCAAAGAGTCCTTAAATGTGACTTTTTCCCACATAAGCCCCTGAGGCTGAAGACTGACTACAGATGAGACGGACACTGGACAGATTTTGGTTCTAATAAATGCAAGAGATGTATCCAGCAACATCAAATAGATACACAGAAGAGGCATTTGAGGAATACGTGCCAGCAGACTGAGGCATCCTGATCTCTCTCTGATTTGCAGCTAGTGACTTTTTCTCCTGAAACACATAAACAACTCTGGAAACAGGGGCCAGAAACCACATCTTTTCTAGTAATGTCAGAACTAGCAGGTTACTGAATAAAAGTCCCTGCGCCCGGGGCTGTGGCCCTTACGGTTGAGCTTGGCAGTGAATCCAGCTCCATCCGCATGTGCGAGGCAAGGGCTGGGACAGCCAAAGGGGGCTGCTCCAGAGGGCCCGAGGAGGATGAGGGCAGAGACTGCTACCTTCATAACCAGCTCTGCCTCAGCATTCAAAAGTACCTAGCTAACTTTTAGACCATCCTTGGCAAGTGGAAAAAAAACGGTAGGAAGCTTTCCCAAGGGGCATGGTTGTTGTAAAGAACTGCCTTCATCATTTAACTGGATTTAGATGCTTACATTCCATCCAAGTTGGGCTTTTTTATCCCTAAGGGTGTTTTCATTTTGTCCTGATCTTGCCTTTGGAGCCTGATCCAGGGCTTGTTGGTAAGGCTCTGACAGCCTCCAGTGAGTTTATTAAGGCCTAATATTTTCAAGGAGCTGAACTTCTCTTAGGAAATGTTTAGCACTGTCTGCCCGTACTTTACAGGGGATGCTCAGCTCTTTCCAGAGTTTGAATTGGTTGCTGCAGTATTTAGATTCCTTACTGAGCATTTCTTAAAAAAGCCCTAGAGAATTTGTATTCTTACTTGCTTTCAAATTGCCAAAGGCACTAGCTATAGAGGACACAGACCTGCTGATAGGTGACATTCACTTTTGCTTGCTTACTGTGCCCTCTTCTTGAACAGTCTTCTCAGTTGCTTTTGTTTCACAGACCTGAGGCTGCTGTATTATTTGTATGCAGCTAGGAGAAGTCAATGAACATTCTTGGTCAAAGCACAGATTAAAAATAAGGTACAGTGAGTACACATATGCTGCCTACAAGCATTTTTCCAAGGAGTTCTCACAAAACAATCCTGTGTGCACAGGCTGTGTTTGGGATGCTGTGGGTGTTGAGGTCTGCAAGATGATATATGGAAGCACATGACCACTGTAAAACAACAGGTTCCTTTGGTATTTTTGTATTCTTTATGGAATACATGACAAGTATTAGGAAACTAAGAAATAGGTCTAATCTGCTAGAGGAAAAGTTATACTAGCTTTCAATTAACTCACAATCCATCTTTTCTAATGCAGTTTCTAATGAATTTACACATTTAATGAGTTTCTTCCCAACACTGCTTGCTTTCATGCAGATCCTCTAAAACCAGTACTTGGAAGCCCTTAAACACAATAACAAACCTGATAATTGTTCATGTAATCTTTTCTGCAGGAATCACCAGCAAATCCTATAGGAATCAGCTAGTCAGTGAAGCTGACCCTTCAAACAGAAACCTCAGCTAAAGTGGCAGAGTGCTGGAATTGAAACCTTAATTTGCAATTGCTCCTGGCTTGCAGAGCTGTCATGCTGAATTTGCTAGATGTTTGCAATCTAGAAATGGAAAACACCAGATGCCAAGATAGCACCCATCACACTGCTATTGGGCAATGATGCAGGAGGGGGAATGCAGCCCATTTTGTAGGGAGTTACGTTTTTGTATTTTAAAGAGCCTCACTATCTTTCCGAATTATTTCAGCATCTTCCCTATAGACTTTCCCTGCCAGGCTATAATAATCCCAGTTCCTCTCAGTGATGCTTCAGCATTTGTCTAAGTCTTCAGGCTGATATCATCCATCATTTTAAGATTACAGTAATATGACATCAAGCCAGAACTGGAAAACTATGTTTTCTGCTCTTTCAAGATTTAGATTTACAAACAAGAAAAAAAAGGTCATACTCAAAAGAGGAACAAAGAACTTGCAGAAAAGAGGAACAAGCCTATTGTGAAATTGCAAATCACTTTCCAGATGCAACAAAAGCATAGGAGGCTGGGCCTAGTGTAATATTTAAAAATGGCTGAAATCTGTTTGCTAGAGCCTTTCTTCTGCTGGGCAGTTTGTGCCCTCTTCAGGATTTGTAGTGAAATGAATAAAGAAGGACTAGTGAGGTTTACTTACACCTACTCATGTATTTCACACAATTGTACCTGCACAGTGGCTTGTCCCCAGCAAAGCCAAAGGGATAAACAACAAAAACAGTACCTAGATCAAAAAAAAAGTATTGGCTGAACTTAAAATAAGCTTGCTCAGTAAGAAAATGCAATTTAATGTTTGAAAAAATATTTGAAGAAAAACTGCACCTTTACAGATGGAACGGCTAAAAGGCCATGAGAGCACTCAGGAGACAGAGAAGGGAGGCAGAAGGAATGCTTGGGAGGCAAAAGGATAAATAATTTCAGGAGAAGATGAAGCACTGAGAACAACGTCAGAATTCTGCTGTCTTTCTAGCTTCCTTTGTGCTCTGGCAGAGCAGAAGTGAGCTCAGAAAAGAATTCTTCAGTTTTTTAATCAGAGTTCATAGCTCCACTGTCCTGAAATAGCTCATAGCCAGCACCTTAAAATACGCTTGCTCAACATGCCAGAGGGCATAATGAACATGAACCACTCAACATCCAGCAGCCAAATCTCTCTGACCCAGCAGTGGTAGACCTCTGTGTTGATTGGGGTTGACACTGCTCAAACTTCTTTTCCTGGTGCTGCCATTTTTTTTGTGGGACTTCTAACTAGCAAGCCCCATGCCCTCAGGCTTTGCAGCTTAACACACAGAATACTTTTCCTGTCACTCTCACATGCTTGGGCTACTCATGATTATACTGAAGTGACTGGGAATTGCACTATCAAAAATTCAGAAACCAGAAGATCAGTCAAGAAAGTTTTGTTTAAGACAAATTTAGGTTTAGGGCTTCCCCCCCACCCCCAATTTTTTTCTGAACTTCAGATTTGCTCAGTCATGTTTCCGAGCTTTCCTCTTCAATCAGAGGAGTTGGTAACTCTGTTTTTTAAAGCAAAGACTGAAAATCTAGTGCCATCTAAGAGTTAGTTACAGCTCAGGCTTTAGGAACACCAAATATACTCTCATACCTTCATGAGAGCTGGCCATGCTGTCATCACACTCCAACACTCCACACAGCTTAGCTAGGGTCGATGACTGCTTTCTTAAATGGCTTTACCCACTGCTTAGGTGACACTGATGAAATGGTTTCAACAAGGAGAGCCAGAGCATTCCTTCAGGACAGTGGTATGCTCACACTGCTTGCTAGAGCTGAGCCTGAGACCAAGGTACCACCCTGGCAGACCTCCTGCAGTGGAGGAGCACTCTCACAGCCCATAGTCATCTCAGTAGAGAAAAACAACTCCCTGAGGCGAGCTGGCTCTCTGACGCCCTGCTCCCAGATTTCCAGGCAGTTTAGACAAGACCAGGATGGGATCCGGAGCCACGGGGAGACCCAAGAGGTTTAATCCTTGAGATCTTCATAGGGGTTTGAGTAGGGAGCTGGCTAATGATGTGAATATGCCTGAAGAGAGGGATCAGCTGTAATGCGCAGCCTGCGCTGTGTGAGTTGAGGCGCCCAGAGAGGCACTGCATGCCTTTTGCAGTATAAAGGGATCATAGCATCAAGTCATTCAGGGAAAGGGCTCAGCAAACCTTTCTTGCATCTGCTGCTCATGTGACAAGCTCTATTCTAGCAGATTCACTGAGCACAGGATCAGAAAGCTGCTAAATAGAAGCACAAAGCATGTACCGCTGGAGCTGCAGCACTAAGCTCAGTCCTGGCTCTACCACTATGCCTGCTCTACCAGCTATGGGAGGGGACAAGAAGAGGTCAGTACCCCATGCTTTCACCACTCCTCCTGACCACTCTGGAGTAGGTACCTATCTGAAGTAGCCTTAAGCTCAACACACAGGCTTGCAAAGCGTGTCTCTGCAGGAACACAGGCTCCTCTCCCTGCTCTTTGCAGTGGGAGGAAGCTAAACATACTCCTGCACTTAATGGAGCTGCTCTGAAGTCCCAGAGTGGTTCTTTTTACTCTTAGGATACCAATCCCTGGTAGTGTAATGTACAGACCGTGTTATTTTTGCACTTAGCAATCTATGAGAATTTTTTAAAGTCCATCTAGAGATCAAAGATCTCTGCTTACGTACACTATTGTAAGAGCCAAATTATCTGTACGTAGTTCACATGAAGTACTGAGAAAAAGTGCCATAACCTCACCTTACAGGCGTATTGCTGTACAAACGCTTTGAGTTTCTTTTTCCTACAGAGAGGCTGCCTGGAAGAAATTAATTACTCAGACGTACCTTGTAGCTTTGGGATCCCAAATTACAATGTCAGCATCAGAACCCGCAGCAATTTTCCCCTTCTTTGGGTAAAGGTTAAAGATTTTTGCTGCATTTGTGCTGGTAACAGCTACAAATCTGTTTTCATCCATTTTTCCACTGTACTGCAGAAGAGTACACAAAAGTGAAGTCATTAATCTTTTAAATAAAGAATAAAAAAAAGTTTCTGTTGTTAAAAAGGCTAGGATGAGTGACAGGGTCCTCTGCCAACATCACATCTTTTAAAAATACATTAAAATAACTATCTCTGATGCACACACTGCATGCAACGTGCATTCACTGAATATAATAACTTCTTCTTATTTCCCCATAGCAAAAGAAAAAAAGAACTTTAAAGCCAAATGCTCTGTAGAGCCATACCCAAGTCAACTGAAATCAAATTACTTGGCTCGTAAGGGAAAGGCAAGGCACTATGTGCAACACAGGAAAGGTGATTTGCAAATCTCTTCAGCAATAATGCAGAGGATAGTACTGTTCAGTAAATATTTGAGATTAAGTAGTATAAAAAACAGATTAGTGAGTGAGGTGCATCAGTGAAATGGCAAATACTAACAGATAAAGATGCACATTCATCTTGAGACTGGCCACTGCTACATAACCAATGTCATCCAGCCTCCACAACTGTTGTTTGCTCAGGAAGCCAGCTACGCTGACAGAAGTGTTGTGCATAGGTCAGTCTAGGAATCAGAGTGCCATGAAAACATGTTTGTATGGTGGTCTGTGAGCAGCCATCTGAGAAGAAAAGCAGAAAGAAGGTGATGAACTTTTCTATTCTAAATAAGGGTGTGTGGGAAGGGAGGGAAGCTTTCTGAACAAACTGTCACAGCTGTGTAATATTTTATGAGTAAGAAGAGGGGGGGCATTACCAACTGAAGAACCTTGTGAAGAATTACTTTGTCCACGTTGTTGCACTGTTTAAAAGCAGTACTGCTGTGCATATTCATGTCTCACTTTCACACTAACCACATGCTAAATTATATCCCAGTTTACACCCTAAGTAATCACATTAGATGATGCTATGCCAAAGGTGAGTTTTGGCAGAAGTCTGCTTCCTACAAACAAACTAGAGCTGCATCCCAAGCAGGGGTAAACAAGGAAAATTCTGAACCATGCCCTTACCAAGCCGGACTCTCTGATGTAGGTAATTCTACTGAGACAAATGAATATATTTTGCAGTGCATTTCCAGCAAAACTTCACTACTTTAAGAGAGCCTAATAGTAATAACAAAGTTGAACCAGAGTCTCCAGAACTTAACAGTGTTGTATTGGACAGAACAATCATAACACCCAGTAGGCAGCAAATCATGAGTGCTTCTCTCACTAGGCTACCCAGATGAAAAAAGACCAGCCACTAACTTTCACATCTGTATTTATTTAGAGTCTGAAGGGCTTTGTCCTGAGCAGCACTGACCATTCTCATCATGAGGATGGGAATCTAAAGTCAATGGGACTTGAAAGTCCTCATCATATGATGGGAATGAGCTGCAAGTCAGAGAAGCATTTCATATCTTTAGCTTGTTTCTGCCGCTTGAAAATACAAAGCAGAAGACAGCCACACACCAAGGGTGGAAGCTCCTCCAACAGCTAAGTTTGAGAGAGATTAGGGAGGAGAAAACATAGAGCAGACCAAGTCAAAACTCTGGCCAGCTCTTCCTTTTACTTTTATTTCATCTTGTAACAAAGATATTGCAAGTAACTGTACTTTGCACCACCACTGAAACAATAGCAATCCTTTGCTGGCAAACAAGGGAAGATTCTGTAGTGCTATTTTCCAAGCATTGAGAATCCTCTTCTATCTCCCAGCACCACAAAGTGTATATAAGTACGGACTCTGTTTTGGCCTTTGATCGAATAAGTTAAACTGTGATAAATATGTTTGATAAAATTGAAGAGCTGATACTTTTGAGAGATTGTATTTTGTTGAAAATATTGATTACTTTCATGTTCACACGTCTGATATACAACAATATACTTACAACGCCTTTTTCCCATATAACTGACATCCTGTCTTCTACGCCATTCACCCCATTAGGGATTTTGGTGAAGTCATCCTTCCCCAGAGCTTTCTGGCATGTGTCAAAGGTGCAATTGTCTGTCCCTGTCACAGATAGGTCATCACTATGGAGAAACAGAGTTCATTATGAAGCTGAGCACGTACCAAATAGTGCCATGCAGGAAAATCTGTTAGCAGGCTGGATGGATCCAGCCATCCTTCCTGTAAGAAAGAGCTGATATGCCCTGCCAGATGCTCTGCAGTCCCTTCCTCCAAGAAGAATAACTTCACAGAGACAGCCACTTCTCCCTGAAGCAGTTTTCTCTTCGTAAGAAACCGAATACCCAAAATAACACCTTTACTTTGGATATGACAAAGGTGTCCCATGGATGGAGGACTGCCACACCTTGCCCGGAGCAAAGGGCTGGGTTCCATCCTCACAGCAATTTTAGACTGTGTCACTCCACAGACCACAGGAAATTACTCCTGATTTGCACAACTGTCAGTCAGACAGCATTCAGGCATACCTCCACAGACACTCAATTCAACCATTTGACCGAGTTAAGCTTTACTGGGAAAAGTACTAGCAAAAGACACGTTTTATTAGCTGGTTTCCTATGGCTATCTGAAAGATACTTCTGCTCCTACTTTCTTCTGAGGGAGAGATTACTGAGTGGACAAAGTATACTTGCCTTCAAGAGTCAGCATACTTAGTTTTTATGTAGCATCCACATTTCAAATGAACAAGAGAGTTGAGAGCAAAACCCAGAACCTCTAGCTATGGCCACATTTTAAACACATTTCCTACTGACATGCAGCCCCACTGGTCACTTTTCAAATTTTCCTGCAGTATTAGCAAGGCAAGCCTTACTGATAAAAATCAAATGGAGACAGAAGGACATAAGAGTTCAGAGAAATAAAATCTGAAAAGATTCTAATTTCTGCAACAAAAAAAACTTTTTCATCTCTGCTTTCACCTTCCATTTCTCCTTCCTGATAATGTTACTTTCTGTACTTTGAAAATCTCCAGGGCATCAATCTGCTATTGTATAATCCAAATAGAATTCACTGCTTTTTGGGGGCATTAGCTGTCATCGCTTGTTCATCTACTTACTTGGCCAATAAGTTCATTAGAAAATCAGGAGTAGAAGGATCTGGTCTCAGTGGAGGTCCCATGACATGACCTGCAGCATGCGCCCAGTCTTTATTCCAGTAGTTGGTACCATCTGTGCCAAGACTAGCAGCAATAGGCTCCCCATAAACAACCTTCCCTGAGAAGAGAAATGTAGAGCAATAGTATCATCATCAAATAACATAAAAATTCTTATCTCATATTTTCCCTGTTCCTGACTTTTTTGGTTGCAATGGTATTAAACTTGAATGCAGTGTTTCAAATTAAACATCAATATGCGGAAGGGCGCAATAAACTAAGTTATAATACAGCACGTCTATTTGAACATTTTGCTGCGGATTTCCCAATATATTTTCTCATAAGAACATTGTTTGGGCAAGCTTTTTAATTAAATTGTTGACAGATATATTATAATTGGTTTTACATATTGTTTACTAGGCATGAGATTGAGATTTCAAAGGGAGTACAGTCCTCAGTTGCGTTAATTATGTTCAAGATCTGTATATTTCTTAGCAGCACCTGTGTGATGCTCTGAAATTATTGACTGTGTAACAATATAAGTTTATATATACAGCACACAGACGGTACAAGGTGGTATTTTTAACTGTCAGGCTATAATTGCAGGCATGCTCACTAGGAAGAACAACATCACAGCACACACAAATTTCAAGACTGTAAAAACATTTCCAAAGTCAAAATACTTTAAATATATAAAAATATTAGTATAAATATTTTAATTTTAAAAGTTCTTTTCCAATTTTTAATCTTCAATTCTTTGCTGCACAGTACTCCAGATTTATTAGAAGAGACTCCCAACCCAGACTAAAGGCTATTAGCCTTTAGTTAGAGCTAACAGATTTTAACTGTTTCCTCTTCCTAGGAAACATGGACTTGAAACTCCTCAGAACAAGCTGGGAGATGAAACAAGGTATCTCACTCCCTGAGGAGGTGGTCCAGCTGCTTTGCTGATCTGTAGGCAGCAGGCTATAACACCACTCCTCTGATGGTGACCAAAACACCCGAGTGAGCTGGGACTCCCCGCACCTGCCCATTGGACTTCTGGTGCAGGTTGAAGGCAGCTCCTGCTGGACCCTAGTACGAGGTTTCTACATCCCCTGTCCTCTACAGAGTGAGCATCTCACTACAGGTCCCAGATTTCACTTCACAGGCTAGGGATAATTTTATTAGAACGGTCCCTACATTCCCCTAGTAAGGGCTCAGTCTGTTATTGCCCAGTGCTATCACCACTGAGAAGAATTTTTCATTACTATTAGTAATATCCATGAGACTAGACTGACCTTTGTCTGCTTTCTGAGTGTGAGTTAGACATTCACATGTATTGTCAGAAAACAACAAGACAAACCTTTGCCAATTGTCTGCATGTATACTAGAGTCTGGTATTTCCATGAGCTTGCTGATTATGACTGCTGTATTTGCATAGGTAGTTTCTGAGGACCTGAATTCTTTTCAAACTGTTTGCAACTGCAGTAGTGCCATTCCTTAAATTTCTGTAGGAGGACTCATGTACCACAGTATTTCTGCAGTCAGAATTTGACCTGAGCAGCTCCCCTCGTTCCCCATGAGTGGGAAGGATACAAGTCATTTCCTGGAGTGGCTTTGATTCTGAGCACTGCAGCTTCCATAGACTGCATCTGGACACTTTTGTTGATTTTGCAATTTTTTGCATTTGATTTGGACTGTGACTCACCAGAATGAATGGTGTGATAATATTAAGATTCTGCTGCATTAAGGCTCTTTTAGTTCAACTGCCTATAGGCATAAAACTGGAGTAATGCAGTAATAAATCAGGTCTTCCCATTTGTTATGTTTTCCTGCATTCAAAAAAAATAGTAAGTAGAAAGTGTTCTGTTGCTTGAAAATAGCCCACTGAGATGATGGTTAGTGTTGCTGGAGTTCAGGGAAGACACAGATGGTGGATTTTGGCATGGAGGGAAGGAAAAGAAAAGAAGGTCACTTGTGTTTCCCTTAAAATTTGCTTATTCTAGTATAAGAACTAGTATCCCTTTATTGTCTGTACATCTGTGCTTTAGCCTTTACGATCGGAGCCAAAGTTCACGGCAGCCAACAGAAATATGCTTATTGACTTCAGCAGACTCTGGATCGGGCCTTCAGTCTCTAGCTATACTATTACTGTTTACTTTCTATAGCTAAATGAGGGACAAAGCAGCATTGGGCCCCGACTTACATTTTTGACAAGAAAAAACATCATCTCATGCAATTCTAGGAGCACTGCCTCAACTCTGAGGGCATACCATGAAGCGGAAAATAGGGACTTTTGCCCTCAGTGATAGAATGGAAAGGGATATCAAACTTCTTCTGACATAGGCTGGGAGGAAGAGGCATCCACACACTGGACACATCCACACACTGCACGCTACGTGGTTGGGAAGGAGCATGAACAAATTCAGAATTGCAAATACCAAGAAACAAGCATCAAAAGATATAAAAAATATCTTGAGTAGAGATGAATAAATTATATTAGGATGGATATTCCACATGCTTGAGAGCTTTACTGTATTTTTTCTATTCTATATTTTTACAGAGCTTTCATATTAGAGTGGCTTTAACCTGTCCGAATGAATATCTTTTAGTAAAATGTTTGGGGTTTATGTCATTCATGCAATACTTTGAGAATTTACTTTTTTGCCTGGAAGTACTTGTTTTGTATTATCACTTTTAATTGAAGAATGGAAAATAATTATTACTGAAACTAACAAAACTGAATTTTTAATTGCCAGAATTTATTCAGACCAGTCTCATTAAAAACTATAACTGTTGTACCTATCTTTGCAGTACATTAGCTATCTTTCAAAATTTCTTAATTAGACTTTGATTTCTATTTATTTCCTAAAAAGTATGCAAATGGAAATTAATTATGGAGAGATACTATATTTTGTGGTACGTAAAGTCAAGAATTGATTATTCTAACTGCATGAATCTTGGAGGCTGTAAAATCCAATTTGCACCACAATAAGAGTAAGATGTGACAATCTTTTCTTTATACACGTTGAAGAAGCATACTCTTATCAAGTTAGCTATCATGTTGGCACAGCAGACTATTCATACGACACACGCCTAAGAGTATTTTACAGTATTTACTATCAGCACAGATTTTTGTACTGGTATAGTGTGTTACAAATCATCCTCTCCTATCTTAGACCTTTTATGTTCATAGCCAGCCTTTCATCTTCAATCTGGATATTTTAACTGTCATTACAGCTTCTCATAGTTGATGTTGACACCTCACCCCAAATGTAAAAGTGTGCACTGATAGATATAATCCACACTGCCAGCAGCAGTGTCATCTAGTGGAGAAAATTAATATAGCACAGTGCCAAAAAATCTATGCTAATAAACAATACGCTGGTAAAAGTTTCCTTTATAAAATTGAATGTAAAAGAGTCGTATGAGAGGGCATAACCAATACCTTTTCCTGGTAAACATATCCATCTATATTAGTATAATGATATCATGCTGGTTTTGATAGCACTTTAATCCAAACTCTCAAACTCTGCACTGATATCAGTAATCTAAGCTCCCACTGTAAGCGTTATCTATATTTGAGAGATGAAGAAACTGATGTCCATGTGATATTCATGCTAGATCAGATGAATGCAAGCTGAGATGTGAAAAGATAGCAGGGACAAATAATTCATTAAGAATCAGGCCCGCCGAACTGTGGGCCTCTGTCCTGCTTCTTCCACCCACACAATGTCCACTTACAGTGCTGTGGCTCCAAGTGCAGCTCTGGGTGAATTTTCCGATTGAGGATGTAAATCATCCTCAATCCCTACAGACTGCAGACTTCTTTTAATCTGCCCAACAGATGGTCCTAGGGCTAGGCTCCCTTCACAGACCAGAACCGTTTCAGGGTCCTGCAGTGCATGACCTGCAAAATCCTTTCTCAGAAGGAACCTGGCCTTTTGGGTGCTGTCATCGTCACCATGATTTGTAAGTGTGCAGTGACTAGGAGTCCTAGTCTTGGCACCGTGTCTATAAAAACATGGAATGGTCGCTGTCATAATCTTTCTCGTCTGAGGCCTACAGACTGTAACTTGCATTAGAGGAATAGCAGAGCACTTATTGTCTTGGACTGGCCACATCATTGTTAATGCAGTAATGTTGTCCTGGCCATTACTCTAACCTTGGAGATACAGTATGAAGGAGAAGAAGGTTGCTCAGGGGAGAAGGGAAAGTCTCAGTCCCAGCTGCTGTTCTTCCACTTTGCTTAGCTCCCCTCAGGCCCCAAAACACATACATACTCTTCAGATATCCTATTTCAAGAAATATATCCATCTTCTAAGGGTTATGGCACCATGCCCAGCAGGACACGGATACTATGTTTGTTTTTCCTTTCCTCCAGGGCCAGGGTCTAAGCTTGAAAGAAGTAAGAATATTACCTTCTCTTCGCGCATTAGTTATCACCCTTGCTGCAGATTTACTCATTACGTGGACTACAAAAAGGGGGCAGTTTATAACATTTGCTATGGTAATTGCTCTCTGTGTAGCTTCAGCTTCCACTTCTTCAGGACGACACAGCTCATGCCCCTCAGGGCCTGTTATTCCCATGGCCAGCATCTTCTTTGCACCCTAGACATCACACAAAAACATATTATAGTCAGTTAAAGTGCAGCCATGGTACGGTGGCTGTGCGGCCAGCCAAGCAGATCCTAAACCAGCCCTTGTAGCTGCGCTAAGTAAGAACAAGTCAGTTATGATGTTTTTTCTCAAGAGAATTCATAATTTTATTACCTCAAATCAAAGTCATCTCACAATAAATCGAGGTCTCAGAATGCCTAAGTGACTTCAGAGAAGACGTTCCACTGGCTTTCAAGGATAAATTGCTGCTTTTGAAAAACCTACCCTCTCTCACTAGGTACACTTGGAAGATCTCCGGCAGTAACTGAGATGAACATATTAACCCCTCTTTGGAAAAGACGGAATGATCCTTACTAAATACAAAAACACACACCTAGAGCCTCTGAATGAGAATCTGAGGTTTTAAGAGGCACAAGATTTTGTCCTTGCTATGTTCCAGGTACTTATGCTGCACTGATCTGAGATGACTGAGCAGTGAATTGATTTCTTTTATAAGATCTGTGGCAGAGTGAAAGTGTCCTGAATAGAGTAGTTGAAAAAAACTCAAAGACACCAGGAGTTTAGTCTATATTTCAAGAGCACTAAGATGGCAGTGCTGAGGAGCAGAATGAATTGAGGCTACATACTCACAGAGGGACCTGGACATTTTTTGCTCCTAGTGAGTGAGCGTGCTTCCGGCTTAACTCCTGAAAGGCTGACGACGTCTGAAGGGTTAGGCACCATACACCTGATGTGTAAGCATTTGGCCAAATCTTCCCGCTTTGACCTGACCGTGCTCAGACTGATTAATACTTTGTCAGTCATGCAGTATAACTCATATTACAACAGGATCAGTGCCTCCTGTCTATTCTGAGCCTAGGACTCCAGGGTACAACTTTCTGGCCTATCCTTTGTGATCTTGGACAAGACATTTGTCTTCAGCTCCCTTGAGGCAACGTAAGGGGAAAAAAAAGCTTTATCTTACAGTGATGGTACTGATGCGTCTATTGAAGTGCTCAGACCATCCATATTGCTTACTTTGATGGACAAAATGTCAAATACCTACCTGTGCAATTAACTCCCCATTTTCTGCATGGATTTGAGCAATTGCTCCAAGTTCCTTACACTGAGAAAAAGCTTCATATAATTCCTCATCATTGATCATGTATAGATCTTTATAGGCCATAAACATCTTGAAGGAGTTGACACCTTTGCTTTGGACAAGACTTTTCATTTCTTCTTTTACCTGAAAGACACAGAAAAAAGCAATATTTTATTTTATCTATTAATAATTTTGTATAAAGAAATTGTAAGTATGAACCAACAACTAGCCTTTATTCACCCATCAAGCACACACTCAGCCTCAACAGTCCAAGTGAAATATTTAAAGGCTGATTTATACAATTTCTGTGTCATCAAATAGCGTCTCAAAGTATATAAATCAGCACCACTGCAGTGTAGGTATTGGAGGTACAAGCTAATTACAGGAATAGAACACTTTTTACAAGAGATTGAAGCAGCATTTTATTGCAATGAAAACCTCTTGATGCTGAAAACACCCTGCTAAATATCACAATCCATGCTTCTAACTCATAGGATAGAGTACGGATATTTGTGCAAATTTATTTTTCAGAACTGGATAATAGGGTGCAAGTTCTGGTAAACAACAGACAGAAAGGATCTTATCTTTTAGAGTTATGTCCTGACTGTAAATAACACTCAGCCCTTTGAAATATTTTAACTTCAAATGAAATGTCTCTAAACCTTTACATGTCAGCCTCCTTCCTTTCTTATATGTAATCTTTCATGGGATTCCCTATTTATGCAGAGTCTGAGAAGTCCAGCAAAACAAGGGCCTGTCCAAAAGAAAGGAAGATGCAGATTTTAGCCCAAAGGTTTTTTTGTCTCCAAATCTTTTCTCAGTTTAAAATCCTCCTCAAATCCTCAATTTAAAATCCTCATATACATCAAATTTGTCCTGATGATCAAGTGGGCTTTCACTAGCTAGACTTAACATGAGAGAAGAGGAAGAGAAGAGAAGAAATAACCATGTATTGAATGGGAATTATCAAACACATAAATACCTGAACATAGGACCCTGCTCTGGAACAAATATGGAAGCAGAAAACTAACATATCTTTTTTTTTTTTTGTCTTCACTAACTTCCCTGACCATAGGAAGGCATTCTAAAGAATGTATATTTTTATTAGGAATTTAAATCCTGAGGAGATAATAGCAAATGAGAAGGGCATGAAATATTAAAGTGTCTTCAACTACTTTACCCAGGTTTTTATTGCTACAAAACATAGGAATTTTCTATTTCTTTCAGTCTTGGCCTTTAAAAACACAGTTAAATTCTAAATATTAAGCAGACCATTTTGATGATTTACACTTACCTAGTTTTATTGGAATTTTCAGTACAATTCTACTGTTCTCCACTAAGGGTATTTTTTCAAATGCCCATTCATCAGACCTTGCTGGAGAATTTATTTCACATCTTTGCTTTGAGCTATAAATTGGGGTCAGTCTATTAAGTGCGCAGTGCACAGAATATCAAAGATGGCATTTACAGGGTGAAGGCTTTGGTTTATATATTTCAAAGGCTAAAAACTGAAGAAAGCATTCATACTTCATATTTACAAATGGACTTTACTTAATATATTTATATACTGATGCAAATTCTCTTAGGATCCAAAGTGGTCCTTTAAAGCACAGGTCAGGTTCAGATAGATGCTAAGTACCCGAAAAGTTCATTTACTCAGTAGAGCTTTCAGGCAATCAGTAAACTTTCATACAACCAGGATGATTCTCCATACTTCAGTTCCAAAAAGATTTTCTAGGCAAGCTCCCATTCAAGAAATTGTTGGCTCCAATCCTGCTTTACTTTAAGGAGATATTACTGTAGTCAGGAATAAAACTATTCCTTTGGAAATACAGTTAAGTATCATATTTTTCTTTATACTCTTATTGAAAAAAAAAGACTGAGAATCAGTTGGATTATAGATTATAAAGCATTCAAGCAATACAGAGCACAATTTACACAAGCACCTCTTGCCCTCCTGGTCGCTGTGGCCTTGATCAGGAAGCACAGGCTGTTTTCTTCTCCCTGGCTATGACTCTAAATTTGTGCAATATCGTCCAGTAACGTCTGCAGACTTTTTTTTCTCAAGTGTACGTTTAGAAGGGCATGAACAATTTCAAATGTAATTGCACGCATGAAAATATACTAGGTATAACACTTCCAGCAAGCTGTATTTTCCACATGAGGAAAAATTCAAGGCAGGTGCCATATGGACTTATGGGGTCGATAATCAGCTATTGTATCTACCTTGTTGCTCCACCATGTAACTGCCACGTGCAGTGCATAATCACAGCAGACTTTAGGGTCTGCCCAACTCTTCCAGGTATCAAAAGCTTCAATAAGAGAGCAGCCTTTCTGAGGAACAGCAAAGTCGATGATCATAGTTGTGCCTCCTGCTATAGCAGCCTGAAAGCAAGCAAGTTATATTTCAGCAGATCAGTGAGAAAAATAATGCATAGTTTCTCCCACCCTCTCCAATCCCCTATGCTGCCATTAATCCTAATACACTGAAAGGTCAGAAGCCACTGAAAAGTTTCCTTAAGTGAAGCCTGAACTTGCAAAATGATTGTGGAAATTTATTTGGGTACCTTTGAGAAGGACGTTAACATCCAACAACACAAGCAGGTACTCAGGAGGATCATGGGGAAATTCTCAGACTGAACACATGCAAAACCTTATTGAAGATTTGGAGAGGAGTCTGCAGCATTCACGTATCAGTGAGTTTCCTTAAGCAAGTGGGATGACAGAGAAAGAAAAGCACCAGAAGCCCATACTCAAATTGAGAAACGCTCTCTCAGTGCTGGAAGAAAGTGTTTAGCTGGAAACACAATCCTGTGTATTAAGGGACTGATACACAATACCTTTGAAAAATCCAGCGTGAAAATCCTCAAATTCTTGTCTAAAAGCAAAAGAATTTTAAGTATTTTAAAAGTATTTTTGTCCCTGCTGAGAATCGTTTAGTACAACCTCCTCAATATCCTCCATGCACAGGAGGTTTCCAAAAAGGATATTACATCCTCCATGTAAGTGTCTGCAAATAAATAGTTTAACAGAAAATCTCATATACGTTATGACGATTAAAAATTGCTTTTTAGCCAAAAACTTTCCCTCTCCTTTATGGACAATCGACTACTTTTTTTGCTTCAAAAAATCTTCAGTGGTCACTGTCAGATCCAGTCCAGATCCTGACTGATCCGGCTGATCCCGTACAGCAATTCCTTTGCTGTAGTTGCTCCAGTCTTCTGCGTTAGCCATAGAAATGCTCAGACTCAATTACTCTGAAGAAGTATCCCTTTGCTTAACAGCTACAACCAATTCAGATCAAAATATATGCAGTTCAAATTCATGCTACATTACTCTTCCAATGTATAGATCAATTAGTTTCTTCCTTTTTTCTCTAGAAGATGCTTGCATAAGCATCTGCCCTCTTTAGAGCACACAGATCTTTCTTTATAAAGTTCTAGTATTTTTTTCAATTAAAAAAATTTTTAGCCTGTCACCATGCAGGGGACAGGTTTGTAAGTAATAGCTTGTTTGGTTTTGTACATTTTAAATAACTGTCTTCAGTTAGCAATCAGGAGCAGAATAGCAAATATACTGACATAGGAATGAATAATCACTTGCAAAAAAGCAGAAGTTTGGAGAGTGACATAAACATGTTTGAATCTGAATGAATTTGAATGAATTCAACAAAAAATTGTTTCTAGGAAAGATGTTCAAACTGTCAACATTTTTTCAACAAAACAGCCTGACTTCTTATTTGTAAAATAGGATCTAAAATTAAAGAATATTTGCAAACATGAAGAAAAAAAAGTGCCATGGGCCCTACACTTTCACTAAAAGTCTCTTTTTTTCTCCTTAACATTTGTAAATAGAGGTGCTCTATGCCTTTATTTATTCAACTGGACAGAAACATCTTAGCTAATTATTGTAGCATATTTTGCAATTAGTTGGTGCACAACTTTGGCTCTCTGATCCTCTTACTAAAATATTTGTTAGATGATGACCTTGTGTAAATAGCTCTGAACACTTTCTGGACTTTGACCTAGGTCAAGAAGATCCACAATCCAGCTTTTAGACATCTGTTCACTAGACTGGATTGAGAACCTTCTTTTAGGCATCTAAGTGAAATCCTGCTTTGTGCATGCAGTCTAGATTTTGCACTTGCCCTGTCCAGTGCCTCCAAAGAGTGATTCAAAAAACCGGCATGCTACCTTAAAGTACCATCTTTTTTCGGAAGTTATATATCTCATCTAATTTAGGATTTCACAATGTAGGCAACAACATCTGCATTAGTTTGCAGCTTTGGTTCTCGTAAAGTCAGTGAAGGCACTTTAAGAATGAGACCAGCAGGCATCTTAAGAGAAAGCTGTAGTCTTTGCTGTTTCTTTTACATATTTTCTTCTGTCAATCAAGATCATATTTATTTCATTTACGTTGTGATCTCAAATTTCTGAATATATTGCTGATAAAAGAAGTAAAAAATTGTTGTAGAAAATGAAAAAACTTTTACATCTATGTACTGTAAATCATATAAACATAAGTATTCAAGAAAACTAATGCATTTCATTCAATGAGGCCATATATTTTGTGCTGTCTGTATACAAGCAGAACAGACAGCGTGGACTTGATTTTCTTTCTATCCGTTTATCATAGAAAGCAGTTTGGAGACCAGAAGTTGCTTGTGGAAGCCATTTTGGTAACTAAAATTTTTCTGAAAAATATTGCTTGTCTACAGATAGTGAAAAAGACAGCTGTGAGGCTCATATAATAGTAGATCCAGTGCTATTTACTCTATCATTTCTACCATATAGCTGTGGAAGAGACCAAGTTCAGGGAAAAAAATACTGTGATCAAATTTAAAATCCTTTCCCAGCTATCATTTCTGAACATGGAAATTCAATATTGTAGTCTTCCTTTTATATTTTATCTTATGTCTGACTTAGACATCGTATGTTTGACGTAGCAGCCATTTTGTTGCGGTAGAAAAGATCTGCTGTGATGGACAAAATAATTTTTTGTCAAAGTTCGGCAGAATATTTACAGTTTATTTTAATGAGTGTAAATAACTTTATTGCTCACTGAGAAGAAAAATTCTAGTATTTAAGACTATGCAGCATAAAATATTTCCATACCTTATAGCATTGGCAGAAAATCTATCATGAGTTGGAGTAAATATTGTTATTGAAAGAAACATGCCTGTAATTTAAGGATAACATACAACTCATTTGTAGCTCTCCCTACAATAGCCATGACATGATGAGACAAGCAGGACATGAAATTTCCAGGTAGAGTAGGGTCAGTCTAAGCAGGACTACAAACTCAAAAGGGTCTTAATTGTTGTGTGGTTACTGCATCATGCCATCTGTTAAAACGAATTGAATTTAGTTTCTTATTTCAATTATTTTACAGAGGCAAATTCATATTTAGCATATCAGAAGAGAGTAATGAAATCATTTCCCTAGAAGGGATGCACTATTGCTTTCTCCTTTTCGGCAAACTGCAGTTCTGCCATGAAAGGGGCAGGAGACAACAGACAGGGTCCCTGAGGATGTTGGCTAACACGCAGCCCTATTCACTGGGCAAAGCCATTGAGATGGCTGTGGGCAAAGGATTTCAGCCTCCAAAGCAAGGCATTGAAAAGGTCGCTTACAAATTTCAGGGAGCTTTGCACGAGCATCTTCACTGCAGGAAGAGGAATGCATTGCTAATACTAGCAATTGATACACTGTTAATGCAGTTGATGTAATGAGATCAACTAAAAAGCTGGAAAAAAAAAAGAAAAACAGACACTAAGTGCAAAACTGAGAGAAATTAGATTCTTTTAGAAAGTATATTTGAACCGAACTTTTACTGAGAGTGACAGTAAGGGCAAAAAAGAATGACAGAAGAAAAACCCCTATAGCCCCCATGCTAGCAGAAGAGAAAGATCAGATGGTAACAAAGGTGCTTGCAATGCACTGTGGAGAGTTAAAATGTTGCTTTAGTTAACCTTTGCTCTGAGAAGCGTGGAGCTGGTTGCTGGTAGGCATGTCAGCTGCACTGGGCGTTATGACAACCGCGGGAAGCGGCTGTGCTTGACACCTGCCACCCTTACCCAGCAAAGTCTGTGCAGGAGCCTAAATAACTTGCTGATTGAAGGTGGATCGCAGAGGATGCAAACTGCTTATTATAGTGGCCCAGCAAAGGGATGGTAACTCATTAAAGTCGATTTTCTGTGCTTCATTCATATTCTTTTCTCTCTTTTAGAAGAAACATTAAATAATCAGTGGGGATATCTCTTTCCGGATGCACACACAGACTCGCGTATGCACGCCCACATAGGTGCAGGTACACCTACCTTTGTTCCTGTGTAGAAGTCATCTTTTGACCTGCTGCCCATGAAAGGGAACTGCATGTGCGTATGCGTGTCGATGCCCCCGGGGATTACCAGCTTGTTGGTTGCATCCAGCACGAGGACCCCGGTGGGTGGCTCAGGGTGGAGGTTGGGTCCCACTCGCCGCACCACTCCATCTTCCACGTACACGTCAGCCACCAGAGAGTAGTCGTCGTTCACAACTTTGCCCCCCTTGATTAAAAGCCTCTGCTGTGCCAGGGTTTGGGGTGGCATGGGCTCTTCTTCAGGTACCTACGAGGTCACCACAAGGCCTGAGCTCAGGGAGCTGCCCTTCCCCACTGGTGTGTCGCTGCCCACCCTTCTCCCGGAGCGCTAGCTTACCTGCAAATGGCCTCAAACCCCCACCACACACTAGTATTTATATAGCTCTCAGAGGACTCGCCTCTGCTACCCCCACAGCTCCACCTACTGCCCCCAGTTGAACACCAACACCGGCCATGCAGCGAGCCCAAGTACGTGCCCCCAGGCTGCTTGCAGAAAGCGAGCTTCTTGCCACTTCTCCTGTGATTTTATTTAGCGAGATCATGCAGGACCAGACTTTCATGAGAATTTGGCTGTGTTTCAGCTGGACACGGAGGCCGAGTGGGCCCTCGAGGCTCTGCAGTGCTGCCATTTCCAACCGGGTTTTTGAAATGCTGTTTTGAAAATCCAGCTGTGCAGGGATGTGCTATACCCAAAGGGGACGTAAGCATTTCTGCAGGGGTGGTGGCAAGCCCACAGGACCTGTCTGCAGGCAGGGGGGCACCATGGGGCAGCGGCAGCCCAAGCTCCGCTCCCACCTTAGCATCCCCTTTGGCTCAAACAATTGAGACTGGAGAAGGGCTGGCCACTCCATGACCCCTTCCCTTGGGACCCATGCACAGCTCCCCCTCAAAATTTCCCCAGTTGCTTGGAGAAAGACAACCCTCTGCTTTGTTCGAAGGCAGGAGGCCCCTCGTGGGGAGGCTGCCGAGCCGCCCTCCTCACCTTGACTATGGATGG